AGCAGGACGGAAGAAGATTCGCCGCTTGTGACAGGGAATCTCCCGCAGAAGTGGATACAGTCATAGTGACCGGACAGTGCATATTTTGAGGAAATATGGGCAGTGTGGATATTGGGGATGAAGCCGGGGAGCAATGAGTAGAGGGGTCCGAAGTAACCAAAGTTCCCGTGGGTTTTGATTCTAAACATTTGTTTAGTGCTTGTGAATAGGTGTCCGAAACCACGGGCATGGGAATATTTCCCGTGGGTGATGCAATTGTACTGTCAGTGTACACATCATTGTGTGGATTGTTCAACAATGCCGAACTGTCTCGTAACATTCTTGAATCATCAAGGGTTGGCATGGCATGATTGATAATATTAGCCGCAGCCTGTTGTAATGCCTGTAAGAACAAGGTGGTACTGGCCGAGGACCAGTCAGGAAACGGGATCTCTGGTTTTGAACCGGTCGGTGTAATCATCATTGATGAATTGGGAAATGTAGACGAATGTGGTGCAGCTGCAGGTGACATGGAACTAAATTCGGGCCCGGTGGAAGAAATGTTAGTACCTCCGCTACTGACGGAACTGCGAGTGTCCACATTAAGTGCCATTATCATTATCACACGGTAAGTGTTTGCATGACAATATGTTTCTCTCAGTGTGTTACTTGAACCTCATGGTAAGTTTGAATACCTCATGTGCACAAGTGTATGATTTTGAATCCTTACATACACACAGGAGCGCACAGGAGCACACATGCAACAGAACAAGGGAAATCGAGACCATGAGCCATGTGTGCATGCGCAAACACATACGCACACACACACACAAGTCAACGCTACTGGACGCGGTCAGATTCGTCTGTGTGGACTAATCGGATTGGTTGTTTGGGGGTCACAAGTCACAGTCATCGCTTTTTTATCTGACCAATCGGAGTACGCTTCGTGTGGGTGCATGGACCAATGAGAGCCGGGGAAGCAAATCGAGACCACCGTGCTTGTTGCTTACTGTAGGCTGAACAACAACATGTGTGTGTGTGTGTACATCTGTGCGTGCGTGCGTGCGCACGTATACAGGTATGCGTTTGTTTTGATTTCACGTTCGGGTCACAACAACGACGATGACCACGACAACAACTATAACGGCCCCAATGCTGGTAAGCGTGTGTTGGGATGAGTTTACGATGATGGTGGTGGTGATGCGGCAAAGTGAGACTGTGTACACAAGAGAGAAACCAGTTGGTGATCTGCGTATTGTGACGAAACCATTAGATGGGGGAAAGAAATTTTTTCGTTCTTCGCTAGCCTCTTGTGTACCTCTGTTCGTTAACGGCTTACACAACAAAGGTAACCAATAGCTACGCATCAATTTTGGTTATCGTAAGACAGCAGAACAATTACACGTCACGGGTGGAACATTTCAATGGTGGAGCTGCTTGTCTTTCTAGGCCGGTGATGACCGGTTCGCAAAATGGTTCTGCACTGGGAACGGAAATGAATTTTTATGCTGAACTAGAGCACAAATTGTTCATGATCTTACTTATTTACTTACTAAATAATCACTTTAGAGGATGTCATATTTCGAGCAAAAATGTCTTCGATGCCATTCATCACACACACACACACACGCACATGCAAAAATGAAGCGAATCCACTTGTCTTCCAAGGTTAGCAATTGAACGAAATGTAAATGGATTCCCAAATTTTGTTTTTGTTTTCTCGAACTTTGCAACCGCCGAAAACAAATAAATGAGATTAATCGGTGAAGTGTTAGTTTAACAGTTCCGTTTGGATAAGATGATTTCATCAACCGGACAAAAATCCTGAAACGATTTTAATTTGTTTCATCCATGAAATGAATCGTTCTGATCATCGTTCTCGTTAGTTGGGATCATTATCACAACGTGAGTATTGCTCACACAAATTGCCACACAAATGTTCGCAAGTTCCTCCCACCCACCCCTCTCCCCCATTTTATCCTGATTGAGATCTCGTAGTTTCATAGACGTAGGGGGAGATTCATCTTTCTTATTGGGTAAAGCCAGTTCGGCCGAAATAGGTTGTCACCCAGTTTTCTTTTTAATCTTACTTAGTCTTACTTCCTTTTATTGAATATATATAATGATACTCTTTTTCAGGGAGGGGAATCGTTCAATCGGATGGCTGCAATACAACACACACACATAAGAAATGGAGAAAGTTAGACTGTGGTGATGGTGGGATTCGAACACACGTCCCTCGGACCGATAATTTGGTGACCTTTACCACTCGGTCACTACCGCAACTTGGACGGTAACAAATGTTTTTGCAATTTTCTATCACTTAAATCACAAACATCACGCGGAAGTTAGGTCAATGTGAAACACGCAGACAGAAATTTGTTCCGCCTGCTTGTCAGGAATGTGTTATCATAGCATGCTATCCAAACAGCGGAGTTTCTCTACTTTGACATTTCGTCTCTCCGTGTGTCAGTCATTGTTTAGTCAATTGAACAATCAAAATGACAAAGCAGCATTGGGAACAAATTAAGCATAAGTACTAGTTTAATGACTTTCAATTGGCTGACTTGGTTGTGATCATTTTGAAAGAGTCATCACCTAAGACGACGGACAACTGGGTGTGCGTCTTGATCTTATTGTATTAGAGGTTTTCAGGAGCTGTTAAAATCAGTAAGAAAAACAGTAAATGGAACATTTTAGAGTAGAAAACTTGAGTTAACCGAATCGTGACGGTCTTGAGTGTGGGTTTCACTCCTTAGGAGATCGTTAATTCCCCTCACTAGTTGAATGCATTGAAATGCGACAGAAGTGTTTGTGATAACCGACAAATTGTACTGGACAACTGTTTCGTCCTGTTTGGGACTGGTTAGTGTTCTTTATCGGTTAGCAAAAACGTTTTCATCGCAGTAAATGGAACATCTTTTAATAGTGTTTCAATTGAATAGTTGAAAAATGCCGGAAGCTTTTGGAACACCTGACAATATAAATCAATGCCAACCGCACAATGTAACACAAATAATGTATGTGGGTAGCTAGATTAATATTTTTTCTTTTTACTTCCTTTTATTGAATATACAAAGATACCATTTTCAAGAAGGAAAAAGCGGCTAACATTCAACACATACAATGGAGAAAGTCAGGTGGCGGTGGTGATGGGATTCAAACACATCCCAGCTGGAAGGGGTGGTGTTACCACCGGGCCATCACAACTATGATAAAATCTAGTAAATGACACTATCGTGAGATGAGTGAAATAAAGTTTCAAGTTGAGAACTATATCAGCAAAAACACGATAGCACAGTTTCATTTGTCTTGAGTACTAATTGCGTTCAGGGATGATAATAGTTTGAGCATACCCAATTACCCAATTATTGTGTTGGCTCAAAACAATAATTGGAAAGTAAGTCATCTCTTTTATGAACATAGTGTTTAGCCAGTGTTCATAATCCGGCAACCGTTTGGTTTCCATCATTCGTGAATTGAGAATTCCTTGAAATCTGTTGAGTTTTAGTAATAGCATAATACTTCAAAATTTCAAATCTGTTTCAGTTGAAACCGTAAAATCGATGCACAAAATGAATCAAACCTAGAAGAAAAAACAGTAGAAAGCAAATCACGCTTTTGTATTCGCTTTTTCCCGTTTTTCTTTAATTTCTCCGCTGCTTGGGGAATCCTCCGAATTTTCCGTCTGATTGTTATACTAAAATTTTTCTAAAAGTTTATGCTTAGTAACATTATTCCTAACACTGGACAGTTAGATCACAGTCATCTAGGCTTATCTCAAACAACTTTCTACGTTAGACGCCCTTGCGCATTTGATAAACTCAGTTATGCCATCCCTAGACATGCACGGCACAGCATTTCGTGTTACCTCGACTATAGTAATGCTTTTAATTGTATCGACAGGGGTGGGCTTATGTCTCTACTCTAAGGTGCTGGATTGTCCCATACTAGCCTGTTTCTACTCCAAGATTATTTTACTGGTAGAATACACTTCAGGAAGTTTCTTGGAAAAACTTCTGACTTGCTCCTGGTCAATTCAGGGGTGCTTAGGGGGGGGGGCATCTCTGTCCCCTTTTCTTTTCTCCTTTTACATAAAAACCTATCCACTGACCCAAATGATCTCTTTATCAAGTATGCTGATGATGTCACTATAGGTTTCGAATTTCAAGGTGATTTCTGCTTCTCACAGCTTCAAACCAGTTTATCTGCCTTAAGCTAATGATCTACGTATTCCAAGTTATCCCTCAATGCCTGTAAATGTAGGGGTATCACCTTCTCACTAGCCAAAGGAGAACGGCTACATTATTTTGAAAGGAACTGTTCTGTGCTCTATGTTGACAACCAGCCTGTTCCTCCAGTATATTTTCTGCAATACTTCGGTGTCGCTATCTCTCAAGATCTCAGCTGGACATCACATTTAATTTTTACTTTTGTAAAGATTCGACTATTGCGTTTCTTTATTTCCCGCTTGCGTTCTTCAAAAGTTCCACTGTATTTACTCACTCGATTTGTATATTCTCGTGCTATCACTCATCTTCTTTACTGCTCCCCAGTTTCATTTGCCAGTCTTATAGTTGAAGTTAACACAATTCTACGCCGGTCTATCAAAACTATTTCTCGCACAAGCGGTATTCCTTATTTGTACTAGCTTAACTTTATCGCCGACAGACATTTTACCTCTTGCGAAAACTTCTGCAGCGATATTCTGTCAGCCGTCATTCATCTGTTACACACGAAACTTAAATAATGCGTATCCATTTCTGTAAGAAGGTGCCGTTATAAACTTGTATAATACTCGTCCCACTGCCCACCGTTTTGTCCGTTATCCCCCATCTTTTGAGATTTCTGGTACAAAAGGCATCCGTGAGAGAAAACGTTTTGAATTTCGTACACAAATGATATTCATTTTCAAACTTCTACGCCACATTCCTGTTAAACTTACGATGCTGTGTTTTACTGTTTGTTTGTGACTATGTGCGACGATGAATGATGATCCTGGTGTGCAAGGAGCTGCGAATTCAACCATTCGGATGTGTGTGCGTCTTTTGTTCGAAAAATATTCATTAAATATTATTTTGTACGTTATCCTTTCATCTTTCTAACTGTTTCACTCCCCCCCTCCCGTCGTGACTGAAACAGAATTGAGACTACTCTCATCCACGGACGGAC